TAAAAGCGCTGAAACGTTTAGACTACTAATGTTATTTCTTGCAAAGAATACCAGCGAGACACTATAGCAAACTACACAGAGAGGAGAGATGTGTTCGTCTGCGTGCCGTGTTGACACTCGTCATGCCAAAAGCAGGGATCCCCCACTTCCAGTCACAGACACTCGGAACGTTTCTTGGATAATAAAAAATGATCTAAAGTATGATCTGCAAACGTTCCGAGCGCCTGTGCTTCCAGTTGTCATTCTCTTAGAGGAAAATGCCTGCAACCTTTTCAATAACTCGCGCTTAGTTTGTCGAAACTCATCCAATGTTTTTGCAGAGTCGTCATTCTCATTCACATTGTATGCACGCATACAAACTGGAAAGATGTAGACCGATCGTCTCTGCCACAACAAATTCGCATGTCGTAGTTCTGTTGATCCCGCGAAACAGTCTCCTCCTTTTTTCTATATTTTCTATTTGACTGCCACAAACAATGCACGTTGTTTCATTGGTTCTAGGCGATTTAATAGTTTTCTTTGCTATTTTGGTTGGGGTAACTGTATTCATTGTGTCCATAACGTGAACAATCAACGCATTCAGGGGGTCATTTAGATTTGCAACATTATGTTAATATAATTTATTTCGTGACATCAGCATCAACTATGAATTATGATATCAACTAAAAACCTGCAGACGGAGACAGTCTTTCGGGACTAAAGTCCCTCGCGTGAAATGGTTCGCATTCCCATCAAACGCCTTCGGCTTTCGAATGTTTAGGAAACACAATTACATTAGTCCCGAGGACTGTCAACAGTGTAGTGTACGTGTTGCGCATGCCGTCGAGTCAATGTAGGTTCATTGAACCGACGTGCGCGTGTTTTCTTACATCGGCTAGGCGATCTGCTATGGTGGCAAGCTCGAAACTCGACCAATTATAAATAGCATTATTATGCAAGAAATGCGATAATGCAAAGTAAAATCAAACTATTTGACTTTTTATCCAACTAATCAAGATGATGGTATCCGGAATCGCTGCACACATCACAATAAAACAAATATCCAACGTATGGAATAACTATTATTATTATACATCTGTCCCGTGCTGTAATTTTGCGGTTTTGCAAAATAGGAAATTCCAAATAGGGAGCGATTGCGTGCGTAAGCGTTCTCTAATAATGAAAACAAACATGGCAGCCCCTAGGGTTAGACCGGACTCCACACAAAGAAGTTCGTTAAATATGTTCGATACTTTTTGGATTTCGGCATTCCCAAGATGTATCCTTAGAAGGAAAGGATGTATAATAATAATAATTTAATAATAAGGTTATTACTAGGATACCACAAAGTGTGCACTCAGACAGTACGCCGTCACATCGACCTCCGCTGCACGTCGGTCTATTCTCCCGCTCTACTGTCTTCGGGCATATTTTTCGGTATCCTCGTAATAACCTCATATTATACCCAGATCATGAAAATATCGTAAAAAGACTCATCATTCATATATGCATACCACATTAGCAGCCAAAAAATTCGATTGATCCTTATATACAATTTGATTACTAGTAGTTGGTCAGTCGGTCGGTCAGAACTTGTGACGTTGATCGGGTTAGATGATTGATTGGAAAGGCTGATAGGTTTATTGTATCAGGCATATTAACGTAATGATTGCAAATCATACTTTCATAGTATCACTTATATGTATATGCGTATTGTAAACCATAGTAGCATACTGCTACGCAGATTGCAAATCATCGTATCAGTCATACATGTTCATTGAACATCATAAAAATACTCACATATTCTACTGTAAAATACTTTATTTTAATTAATTTTTGCTGAAAAGACTTATCGGATGTTTTTTTATGGAATTTTATTTTCCACTGATTTCTGACAAACTGAATGTAAAATATAGGCAACAGGTATATTCTCTGAATCATTCTTTCAGCGAAAATAATGTATTTTACAGGTATTAAATAATAGTACTAGTATTCTATTTACTCCTACTCATTTATAGATATGAGTTGAATTAGAAGCAAACTAATATTAAAACGCTCAATATATTCTTGTGTTAAGTAGTCGCATAACTAATAAAGTGGAAAAGAGGGAGGCTTCCCGCTGTTATTAATTGAGTCAATTGTCATGTGATCGCTGTCGTTCATATACGGCTGTAAACACCACTGATTGTAAATGTCAGGAGGCTGAACTAACACATCACGTGACTGTAACGTGAATTGGCAGACACGAGTATATGCGTGGCATATTGTTTATCCTTTGTTACAACACAGTTTGGTCCAATATTTAGTTTAATCGTTTGAAGATTAATATCAGAACATTTTTCCGCTTTTTTTTGTAAATCTGTGCAGTTCTCATTCAAGCTTGGTGTTCTTTAGCTTACAAGTACGTATGGTTGTGAATGATCGACTCATGAATTGCTCACATGTTTATGGACTGTCGGTAATTTAGTGTCATATTCTGTGTTAATCATACGTTGATGTAAAGCTGTTCTGTGCGATGTGAAATCTACTTCAGCGTTACGGCTTCACATTGCCAAAAGGAAATATACACGCTATTACGTCATACATACACCTCCTATTTCTATTTAAACAATTTAAATATATTATGAATGACTATCTACAATTCAGTTATCGCCGGGCTGACCATTCACTGGAAAAAATATTTTGTTGGTGTATAAATGCCGCGTTTCGCCATTTTGGTTGGTACTAAGTTTAGATAAGATTCGCGACAAAATTTGGTTAGAACTGGCCCGGGGTCAAACTGAAAGTTTGCCCAGTCCCCTAGTATAAGCCATCCCAATAAAAATCCTTATTGAGTTAACATGATAACACTTTAAACTTCTATTATAACGCTTTATTACATGAGCAAAATGTTTGATTGAAAAGTAGTTCAATTTTTAAACAGAATACAGACAGAATATTCGTCAAAGTTGGAGTGAATTCCGGGCAGAGAGGGATAATATTTCTCTGTGTATTGCAAATATTAAATTCTGTTTCTGACTAGATGGGTCTAAAGATAATGGATTGGAGTGAATGTCAAAACTGCTTAATCACGGATATATTAAGTATTCATAACATCAACAATATTTCATCTGTAATTCATAATGTTTCAACAAACGAAAACGCAGAGAGGAACAAAAAACAGAGAACGTTAATTGAAGTCGAGCAGAACCATGGGCGGTAGAACATCGCACAAATACGACGCAAACACCAAACGTGTTCCCGTAATTCTCGGATTATAATTATTAGTTCATTCATGAACATCGTCGCCTGTTTTGTGGCCTAATTCGTCTCTAAAACCTGACGGAATAACTCATATTCAAACGTTGAGGGCGTGTGTCTGAATTTTTCCTACGACATTTCAGACATACGCCCCCAGCGTTTGAATTTGAAATGCAATAACACGATTCTACCCGAGAACTGTCGACAGACTTGAATCATAATATAATGAACTGGTATAAGCGTTTGAGTTGTGATAAGGAATTCAAAATCTTAAATCGCACGAACTGATTGAAAACTAATGTATGTAAAATTGTACTAACAGTTTCGCTGGCTGTTCGAGAGACTTACGCATTGCAGACATAACACATACATTTTGTTATATACTAGAAATAAGACAAACATGACAACATCAATTGAGCCGTGCCAGAAGTCGATTGGTAGTCAGATCTAGCAATGTCTTGCCTAATTGGTTCGCCGGTAAGGTGTTATGGCTGGGCAGCTAATCAGGTACAATCTTGCATACTACTTCTAACTCATCCAGTAAAAAAAGGTGTTTCCTGAACCGGTAGCCAATCATGGATACTCAGGCTGAGTGTTACACGCTGGGTACGTACTCGCCCAGTAACCTATTATTTCTGCCTTAATTTACAGCAATGGCCGTAACATGATATTAAACGACTTGGCGTTGGGGTTCATTTGAAAATGTCGGCTCGCTACAAGACAAGAACTGCAAATAACGCAATCTGTATTACGGGAACAAAAATGGGAAGAAAAATATTCCAACATATCTCTGAGAATCGTTAGATATGTGTGATGGCAGCTACATGCCCTTAAAAACATTATTGTCATAATTTCTGAATACCTAGTCACAACGGCGTTATAACCGCATTTTTTTTATAAATATTTTATGAATAGTGATTAGGGAAAGCTAAATGGTTCTAAAACACTCACCGAATCAGATTACAGTACAGTTCTATAAATAAACGTTGGTGACATCATTGGCAATACTCGCTGCAATGAAAGCGCGCCACCAGGCGGCAATATTTATACATGCGTGATGTGGTAAATTTTTGAATTAAACTAAAATCAATGTAATCAAAACTCGGTATGTATATAGTACTAAGTTTTGGAATATAATTCAATGATTATTGAAAGTTGATTATTAGATTTTTTTTTTCTTTCGAATGGTCAATATTGTAGATGTGTGTAGTACGGCTGTAACATATTTGCAACGGGGTACGTTGTCATGCTGTCAGTGACAATGTCTGTCGTTGTTCGCGCTATGTAATGTTCTTGGTGATTATGAAGGATGACATTCATGAATATGACCATGTCTTGCAGTCTGCAATAGTTGGTTTATGCGTTATGTCGCCCTCTGTAGATGTGACGTCACCCTCTGTAGTTGTAGTTGCGCTAGTTCAGAGAAAACTAAACGGAAATCAGTGACAGTCAGTATTGTCGTGTTTCAATTCCATATAACAAGAAAGTCATTCTTTCCTTAACCCATATAAGGTATCTTCGCATCACACCATCACGTCCGAATAAAATTACGAGTGGTTATCGACGTCATTTCCTGTCCACCACCATTTCTTGTAGAGAAAGTCGACACAAACCGTCGGTCTTCCTCCTGCGAAACCAAGAATACGGGAATCAGTGGCCCTCAAGAGGCGAATGAAGAATAGGCAATCTTCAAATTCTGGTTTGGTGGCTCTAAGACTACTAACACTCCACAACCGACAGAACTTTTCATTTTTTTGAACAACAATATGTAACGGCGCCATTCAGACGCAGCTTATTGTTGTTGTCACATCAGACTTGTCCATGTCACAACTTTTAACGGCATGACCTTTTACCTCGTGAGTCTTGAAACAGGTAAAGCAGAAACGCTGCTCCAGCAAGAGGAAGAGCTTGTTGTCCGAATTGAAGAAGAGAAACACGAATGGGTTGGCGGCACTGTTGGATAGCGCGAAAATTCCAAGCACTGCGTATACATTTGGGTCGACCTTCACGGTATTGTTGTTACTCACTATCATCTCCATCAGGAAGTAGGGCATTCCACAGATAATAAAGGTCAGTATAATCACAAGGGTCATCTTCAGCGTCTTAATCTTTGCGCGGGTAATAATGGCGCTCATCTGTTTATGACCCGCGCCTTTCTTGTGTTTGCTATCTAAGTTAATTTCCTTGCCTCGTTCCCATACGGTTTTTAAAATTTGAAGATATAGTATGCATATAATGCAGAAGGGAATGAGGAACACAACCAGGGATGCATACACCATGTAGATTTTGACATGGAAGCCCGGCAATGTTGAAAATATAGACGTGCATTTGGGAACCCCGTTTCTGCGGTAGCCTAGCTTCCATACAAAGGCTTGTGGTATTGAAAACACAAAAGCTGCAATCCAGGCTCCACTGACTAGAATTTTCACCGGGATATTTCTGGCGAACGGGTTACGAAGTGCACGGTGCCTGTCGATGGATATTACCACAACGCTGTTGGTTGAGGCGTGGATGGCAAAGGTCTGTAGAACCATAACTCCGCGGCAGACTGTATCTCCAGCTATCCAACGAGCCTCTAGCAACTCCTGGACAAACTCGGTCACCAGTGGGCAAAGAGTGACAAATAGGTCCGCCATGGTCAGGCTCAGAATCATTTTGTTCATTCGAGATTTTTGCTTGCGATGGGTCCACATCCAGGTACAAACGATAGAATTTCCGATAATCGAAATAATGAAGATGATAATGAACGCCGCTAGACGAACATTCCGATTATATTTTCGAGGTGGCCCTGCAATCTCAGTTGAATTTGAAGAATTTAGCGCCGACTCGTCCATGCTAGTAGCATTATGGTATATCATTGTTATCATCGTAGCCCACCTGTAAAAAAACAAAATAATATTTAATAAGACCCCGGGGCACAACCATAAACACTGTCCTTTCAGTGACCGAACGTCGTCAAAACGTTCAAGTTATGCCAACAACGCGTTGTCCATACTAAGCCGACTGTCAAAAACTCGCTTTACTGTCATGAACATGATAGTAGACCAACCGGAAAGTTTATGTACTGCCATAAAGGCTGTTGTTTTCATGAGACGGTGGGCCGTAAAAATGGTGTAGGTAATGTCATAGACGCTGTCGTCTCTGATATATTAAATCCATTAGAGGGCTAAGGCACGTCATAAACGCCTTATTCCCAGGTATGGCTGGCCCTTGAGAGAGTCTTGCTCCCGTCATAAACGCTGTCTTTTCCCTGATGGCGGGATTATTAGAGGAGCTAAGCATGTCATAAACACGATAATGGTTAAGATATACAAGCATCAGAAGGCTTGACTGTCCGCATTGACAAGGAAATGATATATATATATATATATATGTTCGTTCATCTGCTGAAAAAATAAGCTTATCAAAATCCTTCTTGAATTGTTGACTATTGAGGTAGTGATCTTAGTTGGGATTATAACCTGAACTCACTTCTTACAACGTAAGATAAATTAAGGATATGACACACATTTTAAATTGGTTGTTAATATGCTAAGACTGACATTTAACACATATGGAATTGTTCTATTTATGAATTGTGTTGCATGTCACCTCTTAAGCATACAGTAAACCATGTTATATCAACTATATATATATATTTGATAACTGTTGTCTTAGGTAATTATTCCGAATAGCCAGACGTTTCGGGCAATGGCTTATGTAAATATTCTAAACTAATTTTCCGTCTGAGTGCAGCATTGTGTCGGGCACTACATTTACTCATCCTGTCATTGTAATTACTTTCTGGCTACTCTCTCATTTGTTTAAATAAATTAATGCCATGATCATAGTTTTGAGTTCCCATGACTACTGTTTCTGTTTTTGAAAGCAAACTGTGCCAACCCTCTCTTAAGGCGTTTGCAATGATGATGTTTGAAGTCAATTATTAGTAAGGTGCTCAAAGATGAACTATTTAGCAATAAATAACACTCTTACGTCGTAGCTGTCATAACAGATATTGACAGAGTAGCTATGACAATCAATGTGTTGATTATTCGTCTCTACCACGGAAATGTGTTAGTGATTTTGCGAATCGAATAAAACTATAGAAATGAAACTACACTATAGTCCAGGAATTAGGTATATGCAATTTCTCGGGAAAACAGATGGTGATTCTCGACTTGGTCAAAAAAATGAAAAATCGAAATATGCATCTCATCCTTAAATTGTCTATCGATTTCAAAACACTTATAAGCGATTATGCATACTATAACTATTGCTAAGGGGTCTGCCACGCCCCAACTGCTAGACCTCCAAATTTATTACTGTTTGGGATACTCACTTCTGAATTTTGGATTATTGAACTTGGCAACTGTTTTCAAATGTTGCATAGGTGTAATCACACCGGGACATTTTAGCTTGACTTCTTGTCAAATTTCTTAAAAAAAGGACAATTAAAATCTTTCTAAACTGTTGGGCAAATAAGTCAAGAAAATATATACCTACTTCTACTCTAAAACTAGTGAAAATTTGCCGCCTAATGTGTGGTGCATGTGGAGTAGTACACACGGATCAAGCACTCTCTCAGATCAATTGAAACTTTCTTGTGTTTCGAATTCAAGAACGGGGTTTTCACATCGCAGATATATTAGATCACGTAAAAGGGTTAATCGTAGTGTCATATGGCGTTCTTTCAATTTTAATTACCCGGTAATATTCTCGTAAAGTGGCGTACCACGTTTGTCGGTATATCACTTAAATCCCACGCTGACAGGGGCTTACCACATACTTCCCTGGCAGTGTTTAGGGGCTTATTAATTCCCCTTAGATAATTTATATCTGCTAACGCGCCGACCTAATGTTGCCAAGCAAATGAACCAAGAATCCGAATTAGCAGTGAGTAATATACTATGTCACGGACATAGACCATGGGTCGATTGTCTGATATTCTTTTTTGCAAAATGAGCAGAATTATTCTCATCTCAAACCCGATCTCGCTATTAATAACCGATTGTGAACTGAGTGAAAGAGAAACTACTACTCACCCGGCTGTTTCGTAGTTCTTCATTGTGATATTACTGTATCTATATTCACGGTCACTACTGCAATCTGTTGTACATTTTACCAACGATAACTTCCAGCATACGTATGTGCGATGTAAAAGTGGCTTAAAAGTGGTCCTGTGAAACAAATACAAAAAATACATAAAATAAAATACATTTACACTGGGTAGTAAAACATATTAAACTGCTAATACTTCAAGTGGAGATTTACTTAAGGTATAGATGCAGGTCCGTGGACACTCGAGAGTGAAAAAAAACAAAAACATTATTTTTTTGCTTTTTCTTGCTCAGACTGTTTTTGCTATAGACTGTGGGTTACCTGCAGATAAGCGTACATACATCAATTTCAGGCCACTGACCGAAGCGTGAATTTCAAATTCCCGTTCATAGTTTTAGTACCATACAGTACGTTCTCAGTCGACCTTATTCGCAGGATACATGAGCAATTTAAAAAACAACAACACACGGACAAGTAGTTTTAAACGCTACGAGGAACTGTACTATTTCTGACATAACTGACGTGGTATTTGTGAAGCGCGGAAGCGTCATTTTGTGTCACGTATGAGATCTCGACTCTTATTGTGTTCTGACTAGAAACAAGCTACGTCGGCATAAGATGTGCCCGGTAATCACAAAAATCTCATAATCTTGCGTTCACACCAGGATTTGCTAAAATAGGCAATATTTCGATTGTGTTCTGTGTACTTTTTCAATCACAGTTAACAATATACTAGTATACTGTACCATGTTACATACATAATATACATACATATAAACTTCTAGAACGAAACATTTGTTTGGCTGTATGTTTGAACCAGTCGGCAATTGAGTTGAACAAGATATACGGGTAAATATAACAACTAAAACTGCCTTGACGCATTTGCGGGCCTGCCTACTTTGAAATGAAATGCATTTAAATACAACATGCTGTGGTCCTCAAATTCAGTTAAGTACGCCAATACACTTACAATACCTTTGTGAATGGTCGCCGGTGTTGCCTCCACCACATTTAAGGCCATTTACCCCGGCGTAACATATTCCCATCTGTTTTTACGTCGACGTAACTATTACGTAATAGTTACGCCGGTGCTGATACTGCCACCTTCAAGAAGGTTAAAACTGTGCTATTTGTAAACCTCTCTACCTCGGTGTTCACGTTGTAAAGTAACGCTAAAAACAGATGTGAACACGACATATATGTATGTATATATATATATATATATATATATATATATATATATATATATATATATATATATATATATATATATCACGCGTGATTCTCGGGTCATTTGCGGCAACGTAAATGCAATAATGTTGCCATGTGTCACATTCCGCTCAATAATATGTTTCACCTTCGTACTCAAAATAGCACAAGAAGAGAGAATCATGTTGATAATTGCATTCTATCTGGTAATTGCGAAGATACTCTTTTCAAAGAAATGATATATAATACATGTATGTATCTGCATGCTCCGAACCACATGCGTGTACGTATTATACCGCAGCTGACATGACATTTTAAAATCCATCGATTGACTCATCACCAGCCATTCCAATAATTGTCTTTTGTTTACAAAAATCGACGAGAAAAGAATATAGAACTGATGCAACTAAAAGCGAGCTTTAAAGCTACTAATAGACTGTTCGGCATTGTACGGCATCTGCTTCAACTACATTGAGTGTATGAATATATGTACTTTAAACTTACTACTAAATGTAGAAGTCTAAACCACGCACAGAAAATCCAACTGGTTTACTGATAACATTGATTTTCAAACCCATCTGTATTGCCAGAAAAAAAAACGCTCAGTCAATATACCAGAAACAGCCTTGAATTGAAGCAGCGTGTACATGAGCGTTACAATAATACTGCCGAGGTACGTATTCATAGGTTTGAACAACATTACTAAAAGACTCACCGTCTAAACGCCAAAATGGAAAGAACTGCTTCTCTAAGTCAACGTTAGTTGAAAGTGAAGTTGCTCTGAGATTTAACGGACGACAGAAGACACGCATGCCAGTGAATAAATAAATCATTATCAACGTCATGGACACGGCGAAATCGCCATTTCATCCGTGATTTTTAAACAACTCACCCATACAAGGATATCGCTTTTACTTGAGCTCCCCAAGTCCCCAATCGAAGCACAGGAAATGCGCAAACCAAGTGATCGCGATGTTGCTACAGATCACGTCGTTGTGTAGCTGCACGGAATATCGGAACACAGAGCATGCGCGTCAACGATGCACCAATTAGAATACATTCTCTCAATTGCTATATGAATACACGTTTCTACAATGGGTTGTTATCCATGTCTAGTTTAATTTATGCAAATTTCTGTGCTTTCCACTGAGCACCTTTTCTAAAATTTGATTTAAATGACATAATATTCACCGAACACTGTCTACATACTTCAAAGCATTAAATTTAATTTCATCTGATCTGAATGACAAATATAATTTAAAGTAATGACCATATTCTGCTACGGTGTCATCACAATTAAAAACAAAACTCTCATTATATTTTAACGCATGAAATGTAATAGAAAATATAAATTGTGATTACATAGACGCAACATTGAGTTGGGAGTATTGATTCTCGTGAACGACTTAATGACGTCATGATGACGGGGGTTCGCTATTTCGTATTGTTGTGTTTCTCATTCATCGCACATATCTATAATAGCAGTTGACATGGTACTTGTGTGTCAAACAATGAAACGCAGGTCTGTTTGCAAGAAGTGTTCAGACGTATTAACCGTCAATGGGATTGTCACGTGATCAACTGCAGTGCTATGAACGGAAGTACATGTACCACTTTACATAATAACACTTATTGATGAATGTTTACGAAAAAGTTTTTTTTTTACACATTCCATCCCATATTTCTTTCTTCTTACAAAAATGAACCCAGCGAATGTAAGCAATACGTATGTATTGGCGTTTAAGTTGTAAAAACCCTCCCCAAATGAATTAACGTTGACGCGAGAAATTCTCAGGTGACGAAGTTCCGTTCTCCTCGCACACTTCGTTCAGTTCAGTTACGACGATTAAATTTAATGGAGCGAGTTGTTTGAGCGGCTTCTCCCCGGGGGATGTATGCCGTATTTCCTCTTTTTTGCGAGTTTATGGTCTAAAAGCAGGCAGTTTTGTGAGTATTGGTTTGTAAGCCGAATGCAGCAAGTGAACTGAACTGAACCACACCGAACTAAGCATGACGTCTAATATAATACAATTCAGCCTTTCAGCTTTGATGCAGAGTTGTAATAATTGCTATAGTTGACGTGTGGTGTTCGTATCAACGTCTTTGGTACCATCATAACCGAATTCCAACAAACGATTTTGAGGCAAAATTTACATCACCATCACCGGCCTTGCCATTTACACTTACACGTAATATCAGATTAGTACGTTTTTATAATATATATCGAACAATCCAATCTGATCCGATTATAACACAATTACACTAATTACAACTCAAATATCGAGTACTCAGTGATAAAATGTTAATTTAAAAAAACAAAAAACGTTAAAACGTTAAAACGTCATATTCTGTATATATAATGACGTAGGTATAATCTAAGTGTAGATTAGACATTATTTTAATATTAACTCACGATCTTTTTTTACTTAACTTAGTAGTCACAACCTCTTGACCGTTCACAAAAATGGGATTTATTTTCAAATGCGACGCGTGACTATGCTCAATAGTTTTTGTTGTATTTTACGAATGTATCTCTCAAAATTACCGGTTCTTCTTCAAGTTACTAATAGGCGTGTTATAAATATACTGACGCAAGGTTATCAGCACACAGAATATTGAATTGCTTTGTAAAGGCATATTATTTGAGGCATACAATTGCTGACATTCTCTAAAATTCACGCAAGCATATGTATTGTCGAGATTGAACTATCCTAGGATGCTATGGTAGATTATAATGTGTTTGTTCTAAGTTATAATGCGAAATCCTCGCTGGTTTTACCGTCTAACACCATACAATATATACATTTGTAAAAATGGCCAAACACCAACGAAAAAGTAGGGAGAGTATTTTTCCAGTTGCCAAATAGACAAATTGATTTAAACTCCACAGGAACAGTGCATTATTTGCTACAGTTTGACACAAAGTGAACAATATACCAGTAACCGCGTTGTTAATGGCTCCAATGAACGAGTTATTGTCCTACAATATTACATATTTAAAATGGCGATAAGAAGAGATTATCACGAGAATCCCGCGAAAAGAGCACGGAGGTCATATGGTCTTAGCATCAACCGATTACCGGAGTACGTAGTACATATTTTCAGCATTTGTAATATCTAAAATAAATATAGCTGTAAAGCAGCAACTAAGAGCTTTCAAGGCCAAAAACGAAGGCATTAAGGTAATCATGAATTAGCTGATTAAAGTGGGTTGTTTATGCAAATTGCAACGATGTTTTGCAATGAATCTTGGCATGCACATATTCAGTGAGCTATCAAAAACATAACAATAAAGTTACACGACCATGTATGGTAATCTAATATATATATTAGTCATATCTCTTTTTCAGTATCTTTATTATATTGCATATGTGGTTGTGCAATATTCCCGAGGTATTACAGTTATGCAAATTAATGAGATTATATGAACATATATTATCATCTGACATGTCAGTCATATCTCATGTTCAATGCCTTCGTTATAAGTACCTATAAATACGTATGTCCCTATCTTTTGTGGTGCTGGATATATTACAGTTATGCACGTTAAGATTACTATATATATTAATGTGGTATGTTAGTCAAATTACTGGCTGCTTTTAGGAAATCTGCAACAATGATTGAGATATTACAGTTTTGCATAATGATGTGGTCAAATGACCATATATGATCATCTGATATATTAGTCGTATCTTGCCCAATGCTATTCCTGGTTGCATGTTCCTATCTGCTTGAAATATTGCATATATGTTTATTAATGAGGTCACATTACCACATAATCACCACATTTATTTCCAGCTACTATCTGCTTTTAAAACACGTTTTCGGAAAATAAAAAGGGTAACATGTCAATGTTTTTTTTATGAATATCACTACACATATTTCATAGATACCACACTAAATCGGAAAGTAGTACAATTTCCGAGTTTTAAATATTCACTAAAATAGCGTCGAAACACGTGACATATCAGTTAATTTTAGAGCGGAATGTATACCAAAACTTTCAGGAGGAATGACACTGCTGTTTTTAAGAAGAAGTTTTAATCATGGCCGCGGAAGACCAAAACAAGCAAACCAATAACAATAGGCTTTCAAGCCTGTCAGGCATTGAAAACTGTTTCCGCCTATATTATTATGTGCCTTTTCATATTTATTGACAGAAAACAACCCCAATGACAACGAAAATAAGATCTGTAGCGATCTCGTGGTTTGCGGAATTCTGTTCCCGTCACGAGCCGCATTGTTGCTGCATTCGAAAGTGACGTAAGTATTTTTTTAAAGAAATAAGAAAGAATTCAGTGACACTTTTGGAATTATTGATTCGATAGATTGTCAATAATATAGCTAATGGCCAACGATTCTATTATTGGTCCAGGAATGCAGTCAGTACGACTTGCGTTGAAAAATATCGACAAATTTTTTTTCCGTAAGTGACCTTCTCCCAAGGTTTTTTTTATCTTCAATACTGCATGTTGATCATGCGTATAAAATCAAATGTTTGAAAGTAATCATATAAGCCAATGCACTGTTGCAACGGGAAATAGTTTATAAAGCTAAGGGTCTTGTGACTGTTGAGTGGCATGCGTGTGTGGCAAACTGTATTAATCAGCCTTAAAAATGCTAAATGGACGAGAACATGTAGTCAGAATGGTTTGTTACTGTACATTGAGAGATACGATGGACAATGACATTTCAGGAAAACTGAAAACGCTTTTCTTTTATTTCTTTTTTTGATGAAACAATTAATTTTAAACAAGCAATGGAATGGGGGCTCAAACAATCATCAGCATAATTATAAATTGAATCTATTTCCTACAATTATTGCAAACCCAGACCATCACATACTAGTATTATTCACAGATCCCAAATACAGCTTTATTGAATGCTCACATGAGTCATTGCGACCGACTAGGAATATGAGAACACGCGTTATCACAATGAAAGGCTATGTAATCGATGACATCACATTGCTAAACATAATCGAGAGTAAACATTTCCTATCAGGCAGCAACATCAAATCTTGTTTGTACCCCTGGCCTTATGACTTGTGCTGATGAATTGAGTGAAGAATGGCTGATTATGGCATGTCAAATGACGAGAGCAAACTGTTTACCTAGCCTTTCATCATCACCGTCCCCGCAGAACGAGTATCAAGCACGTCAGCATATCTACCGATGATGTAATTACCGCCATCGTCTCTACGTAATTCGAATAAAGCCTAGAGAGACTTTAATGAGTAAGGTCCTAATGTAGGTACTGACACAAGGTTAATGAATACAGTGCATATCTCCCGGTAAAAGTACCTCCGGAATGGCAATCTTTCGCAAGAAGCTAAGGTCGTATTATGTTTCCACATCAAAAGCACAGTACCGTTTAAAAATCCGAATCAAGTCTTTTTAGGTGGTGGTACGTTCCGATCATTCGACGACGTTTGCGATCGTTGTACGCATGCGTGACACTGGAAGATCCCATGCTGATCGAAGTGTGCTGTACTCCACTGAAATATTATAAAAGGGGATTACATCATTCCAAATTGGCCTCGAAGATTCCATATTTCCTAAATGCTGATGTACTAGGCCGTTATATGGGAATCACCGTATTAAAGTTTATGAATTAATAAAAAGTGAGATAAAAATGAGGCCTAAATGATAAATGGAAGTACGCAATCATTAATTAAGCTTTAATTGTGACGGCGTGGTAGAATAATGTGACCACCACAGGATTTATTGGGTTGACAACAAGGCAAATTTAAGCTCGGTACACGTGCACCTAATTAGTGTGAAGGGCCCAATGTGTTTATCAAGTCCATCAAACACTGGAAATATTTACTGTTCGATGAACTGTGCAATCATGCCCAAGCACATTCAAAAC